TAGAATTTATAATAATAATAAATTTTAATATAGAATTCATAATAAAAATTAATGATAAATTTTAATATAAAATTTATTTACTATTCAAGTAATTCCAAATTGGATAAGACACCCGAAAATCTATTTCGCAGCGATTCGGAAAGTAAGAGAGCGAAAGTAATGGCTCGCGGGGTGTTCCAGCCCATCTTCTCCGCTGTCCCTCGGGCCTTCACCTTGCTCTCCCCGCGCGCTTCTCGTGACGTATGGGATCGTACGGAGAACGTCCGGAAGCAAAATCGAAGAAGAAAACGATAGTACGCCGGGGTGGTACAATACCTTTCCATGGCGCAGCCCCTGGCGTCCTTTCTCACACTCTCTCTTTCTAACGGAACAGAACGTGATGCAGCGCGCCGGCTGACTTGGAAGACTCGGAGAAGAAACTTGCCTCTAATTATCCTGTTGGGGGGGGCCATATAGTAGCCGCGTGAGTGCACGCGTGCGCTGCGCTGCGTATATGAGTGCATGAGTGCGTGCGTGCGTGCGTGCGTGCGTGCGAGTAACGCTGACGCGCGACCGAGAGGAGGACCGGACTTCAAGGAGAGAAGGGCGGCTCCAACGCAACGGAATATATTATAGACTCGTTCCTTTCGAGACTCGCGCCGGGCTGAAATCTTGCTCTGGGTTTCGTGTTAACTTAAGTGTCCCTGAAACGGACTTTGTGGGAGAGCGCGGCGCGCGTTTGCAGCACTCTTCTCCCGGTTGACTTTTCAACGGTCGATCTCTTTTTTCCTCTTCTTTTTTTTTTTTTACAGAATCCCTCTTTCCGGAAGTGGATCATCGATTGCCACATGGATTGTTTTTGCACCTCGGGATGCGCTCTTCAAGTGGTCAAGTAGTTACAAAACCAAAGCATTGTCATCATGTCATAAAACCTATATAAAAGCTATATAGATAAACTGAAAGAACCTGCAAAAATTATAATTAATTTTTTAATAGATAAATATCCAACGCAGAAAATTATATAATATGTGCATAAAAATTGAAAGAATATAAATAAAGGATGCGTTAGAAAATAAAAAATATTTGATACAACAATTAAAGAGTGATAATAAATTTTATATATTTCACTATAATAAAACTGATGTATTCGAAAAATCTTATTATGTCAATTTTGACGGTAATAAAAAATTGATACCATTAGATATTAATTTAATAAAATATAGCTATAGTCTAGCTATATCTTGAGTGTCCTTGAACTTTAAATGTAATGTGAAACAGTCTCTGAAAGGAAGAGCCATGGAACAACGAGGACGAGTCGTTAGTTGTTTTTTCAATGAGGATCCTTACCGGTCAGACGGATCTGGATTCGCACAGTTAATTCACCATTGAAGCAGCTCGCGTCGTTTTAACTCGTTGCACCGGTAAGACCGGGCCCACGATCCGATCGTTCCTCGTGAACCTCAATTACCGTTCCTCTTCGTGTTCTCGCACAGCTCGCCAGTATAGATAAGATAATATGAATTATTAATTGGACCGAAAAATTCGTCGACTATTCCATTTCTTTTATTATTTCCTCCCCTTCGATTAAAATAATGCTTGTTGAACTTTAGAACACGTCAAATGTGTATACAAAAGAAAAGAGAATAAAATTTCTCTAATGTAAAATTATTAAGATATAAGGTATGTTTATTAAAAATTTGCATAATTAAAATTTAGATTTAGATGCATTTTTATAGCAAGAAGTATATTTTTATTTTTTAATAAACCGTGTTTTTGTTGTTTGACATTGTGTTGGATTGATTCATCATGCATTTTGCAAGTCAATTGTGGCACACACATCGCAGTGTTTAACACCAACTCAGTCGTTTTGCGGTTTCGAAAATCGTGAGGTAGCCGACGCCCGAAAGGAACGTACGACGGGGAAATTACTGTTATTTTCTCCTGTTATTTACTCAAGAATCTCAGAGACACTGATGGGGATAATCGAGAACAGTTTCTGCGCTGCAACATTGTCAATTCCCTTCGCAAAACAGAACAATATTTTATTTAAAGATACAGAAAGCGACAAATTTTTAATTATTTTTCTTTCCTTCTTTTAGAAAAATCCAATTAATAATATTAAGATTAGAAAAATCAGTACACTATTTTTCGGAAACGCTTTATAAATTATTGAAAGAAGATTTAAATCTGATATAAAAAATACGGCAATGTTGAATCGCGCACATCGTTTTGGAATGTTTCTTGAATAAGTTTTATTACGATAACAAAGGATAATCTCATACGCGGACTATAAATACAAGGGGCATAAGTACAATGTTTACATGGAATAGCTCGAGGCTACTGGAGTGGGAACTAACCTTGACACTTAGAGAAACTCGTAGTCTCATTTAGTTGTTAACCTTTGGCCGGGAAAGATCTGAATACAAGAGAAATTAAATCTCGCTACGGAAAGAAACTCACTACAAAGAGCGACATATTTTAAGTATATTTCACTCCTTTTGCAATACATGTACCAATGTTTGACAGTTCATATTAGTCTCTCGATTTTATTATTTTACATTTTTTGTTCCCAAAATTAGTGCTTTATTGTAATATAAAAGTTGATATACATATATTAAGAAAATAATTATAAAAATTTCCTTTATATTTAAACTGTCCAATATTATATTTAAGATTTAAAAGATTGTTTATTAGAAAAAGCGCAAATAAATATGTGTATATATTTTTATATACTAAATATATTATTATGATTTCAATCTAAAAATAATACAACAGGAAAATGTGTGTGAGGGATATTATATCCTCTTTTGCAGCTGGCTTTATTAATGAAATCGGCAATTTATAGTCGTAAAAGTAATTCCAACAAAAATATCTCTCACCTGGGATATATGTAATTATTTGTAATTTACAGTGACGTATATGATACATTTCAGTTGTATTTATGTTTGAACGGGCTTATTACTTTCATGATAATTTGCAATTTTTTTATCTCAAATTAGCTGTTATGGATGTATTTATAAATAAATAGAACCCATAATATGTAATTAAATGTGAAATATTTTGCAAATTTTTCAAGTAAATATTTAGATTGTAATAAAGTTTTATATTATATTTAAAATGGCATTGAGGTGGAAGGAGATAAAAATAATAGTATAATAAAATTATTCGTAACGTAATCCGTTGTATTCAACGAATTCCCGTCAAATTTTATTACAATATTTTTTATTTACAAAAAGGCACTACCGATCACGAAGCGTCATTGATCTATTCTGAGCGAATACATAAATCTTCGATCGATTATGTGAGTGATTCATCGTACATATTTATACATAATTTACGACATAAAAAATTAGTGTTGTCAATATTCAGGTACATAAATATTTCGAATACTACTACTTAGACATCCTGATATTTCTGGTATTATCCAGGTACAAAACTTATTTTAAAATAGGAAAGTGAATATTAAACACAATGAGGCTATGTTTACAATTATATTCTATAATTAAAAAACGACAAATCTCCTCTCTTTTTCTGTGCTTAATATAATACAACAACAGTAAAAAATATCGTTTTCTTGAATATGTAAACAGGATCAGAGAATAATATTATATTCTAATATATATATATATATATATATATTCCCTGAATCTCTTCTTTGATCAACAATACTATTCGATTCTTAAAAAATATATAATTTTATAATTATAGAATCTTAAGTTATAAGATATAAATAAATTATAAGGTATTATAAGGTATAAATTATCATAAATTATAGTTGGAGCACATTAAATAAAAATTTATCGTGAAAAAGGATAAGGATTAATTATGTCCAGATATTGAAGGTTTATTCGAAAAATAATATAAAATAAAATAATGGATCTGACAATGAGTATCCGCATGCAATTTTTGTGAATTTTGATAAAGATACATGTTGGGTATAGCCCGAGAAATATATAGACATTATTTGGTCTACATATTAACAAAATACTACAAATAATTAATACACAATAATATAACAATATATAATTATAATTATCATATAATATAAATATAATATAATAATAATTAAGTAACGTAATAATATGTAATGTACTTAAAAAGTAATAATAATTATATAATATCGAACATACCGGGAAAACGCGCGAAATACCCGGATATCTAAATACTGACAGCACTAACATTTATTCATTAGCACTCGGTTATTCACGAGCCATTCTATAAAATCTGTGTAAAGATGTTATAGAAGTACTGTGCAATTTAATCAATTTAACATATATAAGTGTATAATTATTATTATTGTACAATAATTATATAATATAATATAATGTAATACATAATGCAATATACAACATGACATATATATAATATAACGTAATGTAATACAATATAATATATAATAATTATTATAATTATTATACACAATAATAATTATGAGATGCCGATGGGTGTTATTTTCCAATCTCAAGTTGTTGGTGAATTAAAATTCATTGAAACGTTTCAAACAAAATTTGCATGATTTCGAGAAAGAATTTTCCATTTTTATAACATCAATTTTTGCTCTATATAAAATTATATGTGTGCTTTCGAGATCTAAATAATAAAGACTACTTTTATTTTTTTTAATACAATGGCATATTCGTTGTATTATTTTTTTTACACTAATTGATTTTCTTTAAGTTGATCGATTTTTTGAGCTATCTTACATTTTACATACAAAAATATAAAAATAAGGTAGCATATATTTATTTTAAAGAATGCATTTTTCATAGTTTATTCCAACTATTTTTTCATATCGTTTTCTATCGCTTTCGAAAAATCATGCAACTTTTATTTAAAAAGCTTTTTTAATGAAATAAATATTTGAAGAATAATTTAGAAATGTTCGAATACATGAGCTATCCTAAATAAATAATCAATCTGTCAATCTATCTTAGAGAGCATGTTTAGTTACGGATAATAAAGTACGAGAAAGTATTTTTGCGATAATAAATTACATAATGTATAAAAAAATAATTAAAAATTGCAATTTTATATTTGTTGTACAGGTGTGTACTTTCAAAGTACTACTTTTAGTCGTATGCTTTGAAGATTGTTACATCGATACGACAGTTTTTCGAGATAATACATTTAAAAAACTTTCACATTTGTACAAAATAAGATAACATATTACACTAATTTAGACAGAATGCAAAAGTAATATGACTAGATTATAATTAATGCAACAGCCGCTTTCTTCATTTACCTTTATTTCGGTCATTCGTTTCATGTTTGTCTTTGACCCTCTTGATGCGCTTCTTCATTCGATCATTGCTGTAACAAAAAACGGAAAGGAATTGATTAGTTAAACTAATATTATAGATAATAATTTTATTTTTGAACAAAGAAGTCGACACAGATTGTTATTTTGACTTAAACATTATTCAGATTTTAAACTAATTTTATAACATTTAATGTTTATGCTTTCACGTAAACGATATTGATCTTGTTTAGATCACGCTTCTTGTTGGTAAAAAACGATAAAAAAGAAGCTCTGCAGGTATGTGAGATGAAAGAAGAAGGGGATGATTTCAGGTAAGGGCGGTTTAGTGCAAAGGATTCTCGCTCCTCGTGGGCAAAAGCGAGAGAAAAAGTGGAAATGAGAGAAGAAAAGAGAGAAAGAAGAACATCGTACCGGTTCAAAAACCGACAAACGAGGGACAGGCATATTCTGAAAGATGCATTCAAGTTAAACGCGGCAAACGAAATCGTCTTCGTGAAAAAGAGAGGAACGTTAGATGGATAAAGGAGAACAGCGATATAAGGGAAAAGTGAGAGACAGGGATAAGGAAAGACCATACACACGTTGAGAGATCCGAAAGTTACGTCCATCAAGATTAGAGTAGAATTTGAACGCGGGCTTTGTGGAAAGGGCAAACTTTGATTTTTTTATATTTATAATTTGTTGAAATCTTTGAATTAAAAACTATCGAAGAGAGTCTTGAAAAGAAAATTCTTATGCAGAGAACGAGAGAAAGAAAAATATCCTATTTCGAATTTATTTTATAACTTGAACTTGTTATACTGAATGATTTCTATTATAATTTTCACGATGAAGAATTTAAATAATCTTTGTTTTTATTGTTTTTTATTGCGTACCCTTGTTATTAAAAGTAGTAGAGTCTTAAAATTCACACTTTATACAGTATACAACTCTAAAAGAAGAAGTGTCTTTTCTGATGATCGGATCGAGCGACTCGAAAATCCCGCTGAAGGGTGAGAGGCAGGGGGTGGGGTCAAAAAAAACGGTAGAGGAGGGACGCACACATATATACGCATTAACGTATCGTGAAAGAAATTGCGGCACAAAAGCGTCTCGAATGTATACTCGGTACCCCATTGAATGGAGTCTGCGATTTGAATGGACAGGGTTTCAGCGAGGGTTCGCGCGCGCCATTGTGAGAGGGCAAGGTCACAAATCTAGTCGGAAATTTCTTTGAGCTTCCCGGTAACGTAGCGAGACATTCACCCTTGGATAAAATATATATGATCGCCAACTGGTGAGGGTGGCAAGAATGAGAAGAAATGTTTTGAGAAATAAAACGAATCGATCGAATGTGCGTTCACCTGATTCAATAATCGATTGTATGTCGTTTAATTATTCAAAGTTGGATTAACTGAATTAATTATTCTAAAATAGACTTTAATAAAGTGACACACACATTATTTTAAGAATTTAAATATTGAAAGAGATACATTTTTATAAAAATGTATCCGAAATTACAAATAAGATTCAAGATCAATTAATCCACAAAAATATTATTAAACGGATTAATGAATAAGATTGACATTTACACTTTACAGTTACGACACGCGATGCAACTATTGAGGATCATGAAACTTTACAATGTGAATGACCCGTGAGTGACAACTAGAAAAGAAAAACAAGAAATCACGACACCAACCTTGAGAAGGCCACAAGAAATCGACATGAGCATTCTCTCATTGGTTCTGCCACCAGGTGATGGCATCCAGTAGTTCCTCGTCTTCTGGACTCATCGGCTCGTGATTGTCGTAACTGTCGGAATACGTGTAAAGTGTGCCAGACGTGCCGTAACCTTGACTTCCAGCTGACGAGGTTTCGGAGACAAAGCTCGGCGTCGGCGAGCTCGATGCCTCTGAACACGTTGTCGGGACGAAAGTCGGGCTTGCATTCTGCCGGAGATGTTGATGACGGTGCAGATCAGATTCGTGATGACGTATTTCCCCGGTGATGCCACCTCGTAGTCTCAATTCCGCTGGATGATCAGAACCGATCCCATTTTCGGAACCGCAGGCGGGTGAATTGGAGGATGTGGACGAGGTTGGCGAAGATCCGCTCGACTCGGATCCGTCGTGCTCTTCCAGAAGACGCTGAAGACTCCTGATGTACTCCACCGCCATTCTCAAGGTTTCGACTTTAGACAGCTTTTTGCTGCCGGCTCTGGATCCACCGTGAGTCCCGGCCGTACTGCTACCCAACGCCTGCGCCACCGCCTGCGGTATGTGCTGCCTCAGAGTGGCGAATCCATTGTTTACCTGCTTCACCCTGTTGCGCTCTCGCGCGTTTCGTCTAGCCACCGAGGCAGGTTGATGCGGTACTGTGCCGTAAGGTCCACTGGATTGGCCGTAGATCTTGGAGCGCTTGCATCCGTGTTGCAGACTACTATTATTGGTTGGCATACCGCTGGTGGAGACAATCACGTTACCGCGATGGGTCTGCGCGCTCGAAGTAGCGTGAAGGCTGTGGTGATGATGCTGCTGCTGTACACTCAGCATGATGGGCAGGACGCTTTCCTCCTTGAGCCCCACTAAAGTCATATCACGGGCCCGAATCCCCCACCACCCAAGAGCAGGAATTGTGGTAACGCGTGCCAGACGACCTTCGTAGACTGCACTGTTCGATATATCGAAGAGAAACTTTGTCCAAGTAAGTTCGATGCGATCCGTCGACACCTTGCGGTATACACGCGATCGCGTAAAGATGTGGAACGGACGCGCAAATTTACTCTACTCGACCGACCGACCGATCGACCGATCGACCGAAAAAGGGAGGACAAGCGTGGGAAGAAAAAATGAAACTTCACCCTCGATGCTTTCGGTACGATTCTGGCTCCCGAAATGCCTAGCCAATGAGGGTTCGGGGCCTTATATAGCCGCACGGACAGGCACGCGCCATCTCCCCTCCACGAACCCTCGATCTCGGGTCCCAAACCCCCGGTCTTCTCTCTCTCTCTCTCTCTCTCTTTCCCCGTCTTACCGGCCCGCTGTACCTCATACCCTCGTGATTTCCCACTACCGCGGTCCCAAAGGCCCTACGCTGCCCGAGATTCTCATCTTCGTTCGTCCTCGTACTAGTACACCGCTACCACTCCGATTTGTTTACCAATTTACGTTTCAAAGCACGATGCATTGTTATCGATATAATAAGGTTCATTGTCCACCTGTCTTTGGAATAATTGATAAACTAATTAGAAAAAGATAAATTCTATCAAGAAGATATTAATTATATTTCTTATTGCATGAATAAGGCAAAACGTTTGAGCATGCAAATATTAATCTTTATTATTTTATATCCTTTAATTACAACTTAAACTATATAATTTGAAAAGTAAAAAACATGTATATTATGTACATTAAAATCTGAGTCGAAAGTGTAAAACACATGATTCTTTTGTCAGCAAAATATGCTGGTAATATATAATTATGAAAAGAGCAAGTGAATATAGAAAAAATAGAAAAAAAATAATATAAGTTTTGACCCTAAAAACAACGAAATAAATAATTATTTTCAAAAATTCCTGCAGATTGTCACTTTATGATAAGATTTTAATCGCAATTCATAGAAAAAAATCTAAATGAATAATCTCTAGTTCAATGTGTCATTAAGGCCCAATGTCTGCGTATTGAGCCGAATTCCGCGTAATTTCTCGTATGAGAGACACTGGCGCAGATACGAAGGGTCCACATCCCCACCGGCCTCGCGGTGTCTCGGGGATCGAAATTTGAACAGTTACCGGGAGAAAGAAAAGCTGGTCCGGGGGTCCGGGCAAGTTGATGAAGCGAGACGACGAGAGACCAAGGTGTAGAACGCATGACAAGGAGAGAGGCCGAGGAAGAGGAGAAAGAAAGATGATGAGGAACAAGGAGTGGGAGGAGATGGAGAGGTCTGCGGCTGGAGGGAAGCTGTGCAGAAGACGAAGAGGTATCGGAGGAGGGTGAGGGAGCCCGGTGGCACGGAACATACGAGTACCCGAGCAGCGACTGCAGCAGCGGGGTGAAAGGGGAGGAAAGTAGCGACGGCGAAAGAGCACGATAGCGATGGCTACGACTGTAGCACGTGTCTCTTTTTATGATATATTTTTATAATTCGCTATAAATGCATTACAAATATTTCACGGAATGAGAGAAAAGTGGGAAATATTTTAATATACGATAGCACACCTCTCATTTTATCATCGAAGCGAGGATGCATAAAAAAATATATAAAATTTATATGACATTATCGAGAGTCCCTGCCTTTTTTATCGCAATAAATAAGCTACTCCAATTTTCTCGAAACTCTGAACGATGCGATATCGCGTGAAAGGAAGTAGTAAAAATGATTTACAGGATATATAAACGTATATTTCTGTCGGGGTGGATTTCGCCCCACTTTTAGCAAATCACCATTTATTCCACAACGGAATGATACATTTCGGAAAAGAAAAAAAAAACTTATTTGTATGGAACCAACGATATCACCTCACGGCCGTCACTAGTAAAGAAGACATGTACGACGACAAAGGGGAAGGGGAAGAGACGCGAGCCGTCCTCCCTTCCTCACATTCGTGGCGCGCGCCTACTCCCATCCGCTGGCTCCCTTCTCTCCCTTTCCACTCGTCCGGTTTTATCCTCGCCGAACGGAGCGTGCGTCTACATGCGTGCGTGTACGAGGGCGCACGCGTGCTTGCTCGAGCCTCGTGCGCTTAAGGGCGCTTGTACGGCGGGAGCGATGGGAAGGGCGGCGGGGGGGTGCGAGGGGATGTGCGTGCGCGGAGTACATGTGTGGAGCTCGCGCATATGCGTGCTCGCGCGTGGAGAACAGGTATACGCGTTCCCTGCGTTCCTTTTTCCTCCTTTTCATTCTCTCTGGCGGTTCTCCCGCGTCCCTCTTTTTACAGGTTTGTCTTTCTCCTTGTCGAAAAGGCGACTCGCGAGGGAGCGATATAAGACGACGTGGAGAAGGTCCTGCTGGACATTTTTTTTTTTGCGTGGAGATAAATGTCAGGCGGACGTGATTCGGTGTAGATGATGATGAGTGCGCCCTTTGGACTCCTGATAAGGATACGAGAGCAGAAACGCGAAAGAGAGATAGGTGATTTAAAGTTTAAGCGAACATGAGAAGCGAAACATTACATGTATATGATATATATATATATATATATATATATATATATATATATATATATATATGAGATACATGTATAAAATTTAATATATAATTTAATATAAAATTTAATTTATTTTTTTCCAAAAAAATGCGCAAAGTTTACATTAACACAGATACTTTTTTATTGAGAGAGAACTTGCGGAATTCATATCATATGCGAATCTTTATCTTCTCTCGGGGATTGATACATTGGAGTGACATTCGTTATATTAAATATTAAATAAATATGATACAATTAATAATTAAATATTAAATAAATATGATGCAATTAATAATTAATTATTTTATACTATTATTTTATACATTTAATTAATGAAAAAGTATACGCATGGCGTAACCTGGAGAAGAGAAAGGAATTCGAAAGCTGATACGATGCGACGGTGATGTTGTCAAAGAGGGACCTCGTGTAAAGGACAGAAAGGTCAGAGAATTTTTTGAACACTCTTAATAGCCTTATTATCTTGAAAGCTCCGAGTTTGGAATTTATTCCGTAATTATATATTCTCGGAGGTCTCTCGCGCGCGAGATACTTCGATTCCCCATTGCCAGACACTTCGCCGCCAATTACCGTGAAATTAATTACCGTGCCGAGTGGTGGAGATGAACGATGCCATGTTGTTGCGTTCTCCGAGTCAACCCTTGCAGCCGATGCAACTGCGATCCGAGACGCTCGTTGCAGTCGTCTCACGCGCCTCGGGCACGGTTTTAGATGTTAGATGATCGTTCGGATCATTGTCCAGCCCCGATCATAGAGATTAAGGGGCTCTCTACTTGGCCGGATGAAGTATGGATCATGGGTGCGCTATGCAATTGTTACAATTTCTCGAGCCCTTCTCTTCTCCATCATTTTCACGACGGAGGCGCGTTTAGAGCCATTTAGTTCTTTATAATATACGTTTGGTGTAATAACATACTTTGATGCTGATTTGTGTCGATTACACGTTATCGTAAACAGTCTCACAAGTATTTAAGTAAGAGGGATAATAATAGTTGCGAGGTTTGTCGCTATATTTTTTTATGTTAAAAGATATGCTTTCTGTGCCAGGTATAAATTATAAGTACGTATCACAGAGAACGATTAATTCCTGTTTTTACTCAAAATTAATCTCTTTTGGGAAAAAATACTTTATTCAGATACAATGCGCCAGGGAGAATTTTTCTGAGTCCCTAATTAACTGCAGATGTTTTGACAGGATTGTGACAAGGCTGATAATGATCGTCCTCGAAAAATTGCATACAGCAAAACGCATCATCAGTAAGTTATTTATAACAATAAAGACAAATAAAAAACCTCGACTTCGTAGGTCTTTTTTAATAATTTTATTTTTTATTTTCTTCTTAATTAATTAATTGTCACACAACAAATTTATGATTTTTATAACAATTATTAATTATATCTATAAAAATATTGCATTATTTGCACTGTAAAACAATAAGAAATTGATAAATTGTAAATATAATCAAAAGCGCAAAATTTTTGTCCAGATATATCCTTTGACGCATGTGCGATGCAGATTTGGACGAAAAATGTAGATTTTCACGTGCTAGCATGTCAACACCAGCTCGCATATGTAATGGCACAGATAATTGTGTTCCGGAATGAATAAAGGGTCGAGGAAAGGCAGTCCGAGGGAGACAATTTACGCTTGCGCGCGTCTATTTCATAAAGGGTCATGTGGGGTTGCCGATACGGAACATAATCGGCGACACATATGACGCACAAACGTATGTGGGCAGGTATGCGTATCGGTGCGTGAGCCAACGTACGTGGCATATGTCGCAGCAGGTTGGCCGGATACCGATATTGCTGATTAATCCGTTCGTATGGATATTTTTTTTTTAATTTTCGACGAAGACAAAGATGAGAAAATTGTTTGTAATTAATCACTAAAAGAAACTTTAAAAAAATTGTCTCGATTACGCAATAATTAAAATAATTGTTGACGTATTATAAGTGCATATTATAAAATAAAATACGATAATATATGTTCAATTACAAACTTTCTGGACAAATGTTCTCGCGAGCTAATTATAAATTATGTAACTGATTACAAGAAGCCGAAAATCAATGGGTATATTAATCAAAATTATATAATATTTTTCGCTGTATCTTATTAAAGGTATCAGTATTAAATATTCGAGTAAATGGCACGCGTTATTAAGATAGCACCAATTATCATCGACGCATATGCGCTTATCATGCCGCGATTAAATTGCATTTTATGTCCAGACGTGCATTGATGGGCAACATGCGCTTGGTTTAAGAGACGCGTAAAAATTTCAGACGAGAAAACGCTTATCGGAATTTATCTTCCCAACTCATTCTTCCCCATCGCGGAAAAAGAAATAAAGATGCGTGTGGCCGCGACGAATTAATTCGTGAGATACGTGCACGCGCTCGCGTACACCCACACACACAGATATATAACTTTATAAAATATATACGATAGAGCAGTACATATTATTGTATTATGCGAGCGACACGCGTAATTAATTATTCTTAAGATTAAAAGACGCAATATATATTGGCGTTATATACATGAAAAGGTACCAAGAGAATACATATTTATTCTCAGCTCTTATTCTTTTTGCTGAAAAATCTTGATTGCGGAACTCTACCCCATGGGAGGTCCCCAAGGTCAATCGAGAGCTGGCCCATCACACGAGCCAACAG